AGAATATTCATTCACAGACTTAAAGCTGGAAGCGCAAGTGCTGCCAGTCGTGTCTGCTTCAGGCAGATGTCTTTTGGTGATCGAACGATCAGCAAGCGACCCATAAGCACGTGGATCCTCCTAGCAAGGTAACTCAGTTGCAGAGCTCATGAATATGTCTTCGGATGAAGATCATAGCAGTGGCTTTTTCAGCTTCACCAACAGGTTCAGTTGTTGCTTCTTCAATAGCAGGACGCAAGTTCTTGGTAGTGAGGTGGAGCTTCACATTTTGAACCCACTTGAGGTAGTTCCTTCCAGAGACCTCCAAAGCGGTGAAGTCGAGTTTGCTCAAATTCAACATGTTCCTATCACAAATAGATGGACAAGATGTGGTTAGTGTAATGGAGAAAAATCAATCCATTCACATAGGAGTAGAACATACAGGTTCTAATAGACATGTATTGGTTAAAGTTTGCATGAAAAACTTCGGGTTTTCATGGGTGATATGTTTAAGAGAAAACTTCAGGTTTTCAAACAAGGCATGTTTATAAGAAACTTCGGGTTTCAAAGTAATTATGAACTTCAGGTTCATATATTCCTGCAGGCAAACACAAATATATATGCAAACAAATATGCAAAAATATTGTATAATGATAATTGAATTAATTTATTTTTGGTCTTCGGGGCCAAATTAAAGTGTGGGTGAAAATATAAAAACCCATATTATTTAAAAGTATTAAATAATAAAATCTCGGGGCCTAAAAATATAGGCCAAGAACCCTCGGGTGTAGGCTGCAGGCCCACGGGGTGAGAAGAGGGAATGGGCTGCTGTGTGCAGCCCCCAAAAAAATCTTTTGTTTCACAGATACGGGCTGCAATAAGCAGGCCCAGAAAAAAAAACTAAAAAAATATTTTTTCGGTCTGGGCCGCTGCAGGCGCGCCTAGGAAATCAAAAAAAAAATTTCTTTTCTTTGCGGGCTGGGCCGCTGCAAGCGAGCCCAGCAAAAAATTTGTTTATTTTTTTTCTTGTCACACGGGCCGAGAGGCTGGAGCCCGTTAGGGCTTCGGGGTGCAGGACAAAACAAACCCAGCGGCGCTGGGTGTGTGTGGCCGAGGAAGAAGGCCGAAAAAACTAGGACGGCGCCACTGCAGGTGGTTGTCCTTGGTGTGCAAGCCATGGTTCGTTGGAGAACCAAGTGTCCATAGACAGAGATGAAATCTCGACGTGATATCAAAACCCTAAAAATTGAAATCGATTTTTCAAAAAATTCCGACGAGATTCCGTTGAATCTCGGTTTCAATTATCGACATGGGACGACTTCAGTCGGTCGTCGAGAATATGAACCAAAGTTCAAGGCTGTGGCTGCAGGCCATGCCAAAGCCATGGTCGGGGACACCAGGAAGGGTGTCGGGATTTTGGGTTTGGGGCTTGGCTTCTCGTGGGTTTTTTTTTCTCTGGGAACAAGGATAGTTGCATTGCTCTCTGCTTGCGTGGAGACCCCATCTGCAGGGATGGTGGTCACGGGTTCTAAAGAACCCAGGTCCCAATCGCAAAAAAAAATTAATGTGTTTTTTTTTCAATTCACTATTATTTATTTATAATGCACATGTATATTTAATTGAATCACATATAATTATCCGTTGATGCATATGTCAAATATAGTTTCAATGCATGTTACATAGTAAGATTCAGATTCATGGCAATATCAAATTCACATAATTGTAGCAATTTTGGTTATGAAAGCATACACAATTTATGTAGAATCTAAAAAATACGTTAAACGTAAAGTTGGTCATGCATGCATCATGGTGAATGTTCATATGCTATCAGGGCTTGCAAAATATCGAGTTAAAAAGCCGTTGTTTGGAAAGAACCTGATAATTGCGTGATGATATGGATGAACTGGTTTGATTTGCAGAAAAATCTTCAACGTCAGATTCCTAAGCGCAGCGGTAGAGCGTGTAACGTGTTGTGGTCTATTTTATCTGACAGAGAGACTAGGCCGGTTGCAGAGAAAGAGAAGAAGAGAGATGTGTGTTTGTAGAATTGTAGGGGAATGTGTGTGTTGTTATCCCTCCTACATTGTGCCTTTATTTATAGTAGTAAAGGGAGAGAAGATATTCCTTCTCCTCCAAGTAATACAAGTTGTAATAGGAAAGGATAACTAAAATCAAATCTAATTTAGGATTTACACAATCATACTTATTCTAGGAATGTTTACAACAATTGTAAGCATTTATAGTTTAAGTGTGATTGTGTAAATCCTAGATTATATTTGATTCTACTTATCATTTCCTATTACAACTTGTATTACTTGGGGAAGAAGGAATATTTTCTCTCCATTTACTACTATAAATAAAGGCACAATGTAGGAGGGATAACAACACACACTCCCCTTCAATTCTACAAACACATCTCTCTCAATCTCTCTTCCTCTACCGTCGGCCCCCTTTAACCTTGTCAGATAAAATAAACCACAACACGTTATCAGCACACTTTTGCCGCTGCATTTAGGAATCTGGCGTTAAAGAATTTTTCTACATCAAACTAGTTCATCCATATCATCACGCAATCAGGTTCTTTCAAAACGGTTTTTATCTTGATATTTTTACAACCCTGATAGCATGAACATTCACCATAATGCATGACCCAACTTTACGTTTTTTGAAATTTAGATTCTACATAAATTGTGTATGCATTATATTCATAATTATTGAATTATGTGAATTTGATCTTTGCATGAATTGTATCCAATATATGTACATGCATTAAAATATTGAATTGAATTATATTTGAAAAAAGAAAAAAAAACGAAATCGGGAATTATGGTCTGGGTTCTTCGAACTCATGACCTTTCGCCTTGAGCCAAGCCTGAAGCTTGGATGGCCAAACCGAGTCCCCAAGACGGAGCCGTGAGCTCTAGGTCAAAACACATAAACCCGACGCCCTTCACGGCGTCTCCACCATCGCAGGATTTTGTCACGTCACTAGTTGTTGGGTTTTTTATCATTGAAAATCCAACGGTTCATAAAACTAGCCGTTGGAATCCAACGGCCGAAGACTCGCCAAGTGGCTCATGTCCCGCGCCCCTTTAGTGCACCTGCAGCGCGGGGCTCGCCATCTATCGGCTGTCGGGAAAGCGCGCCCACGCAGGCATGTTTCCCACGTGCCTGACGTAAAAAAAATATCAGGTCTTTGTTGACGTCAGATAGACCAGTTCCTCACTCAGTCCATTTTGGGCCGGCCTACAGACTGGGGTGGACTTTGGGCTGGACTATTTTGTGGGGTGGAGTGGGTTTTGTGGGTGCCAGCGAACTTGCTCTTAGCTGTTTTTTGGGACTCATCTCCTCAGTTGCAATAATTGATTCAAATTCAACGGTTATATTTGAAAAAATCCAACGGTAGTTTAACTAAATTACCAATAAATTTGAAGTATAAACTTAAAACTAATAAATTATTAAGTGGGGCTATATTTAGCCCCTTCAGTTGGATATGGTACATGAGTATGGCCTAACACTGTTTATTAAAAATTAATTTTTTGCAGGGCTATAATTTTGGACGTGGTTATGTTTAGCCCCTTCTATTGGAGATGGCCTAAAAGGACATAGAGAGAGAGGGAGGAGGTGCGGAACAACAAGAGTGAGAAGAGAGAAATAAATTCTGGGTCCGAATATAGTTTCTTCTCTTGCTCCGAGTTGGTGCTGAAATAGTAGTAACACCAAACCTAAAGCCAGTTGTATAAGGCGTAAAAAAAGTTGTCAATAAAGACGAAGTTTGTGTGATTTGAATACAGTTTCTTCTCTAGCTCCGAATAAAGACGGAGTTGGAAGGAGAGAAGAAAAAGGGGCCAGAGAAGAAAGAATTTGGGCATGCGAAAGTGAAAAAGGAGGATATGAGAGAGGATTTGGATTCTCTCTCATCCTATTTACATCAACCGTGACCGTTCAAATAGGAGGGGAGGGAAAAAACAGAGGGAAAATAATCCTAATCCTAAGAGACTGTGGAGCATAAGAAGGAGAAGATGAGGAGAACGTTGTCTTTCAATCGTGCGCTGATGAGGTTTTGCAAACATCAGGGTTTTTTTTTTCAAAGCGTGCTCTATGTTTGAAAAATAGAAAGTGTGTTCTCTATTTATAATGGATGCAACAAAGGTGTTATTTGGGTTAGCCCAAAACAAATAGTAAAACCTAGCCCACTTAGAGCAGGATGAGAACCTGTCACATATATGTTTCATTCCAGTAAACCCAATTTGGATTGTGGGAAGATTGGGTTTGGCAAGGGAAAATACAATCCTACTGAAAATAAGTAGTCATACGATATTCTAGAATCTCTAGATGATTATAGCAATTTTTTAGTACATCGATATATTTTTATATTAATAAAATAAAGAGTCACTGAATAATCTAATTTGTTATCGAATTCGTCATCCACAAGATTCGAACTTAAGACATTTCACTTCCAAATGAAGAAAAATATCAACAGACTGCTCGAACTTTTCTCCATTCTTTCCCTCGTACCAAAATCCTCTACACACGACGAGAAGCTAATAGTGTGGCTCACAGATTGGCAAGAGTTGGGCTATCTTTGGAACAACATGTGGTGTTGTTTGAAGAATCCCCAATATAATCACTCATCTTTTAATTGTGGATAGTATTGTTTTATAGTTTTTGGTGCGAAACGTTCTTTTTTTTCTTCCATTGAGTTGAAATGTCAAGCAAGGATTTTTTCAAGGGAGTTTTAACGAAAAGCTCACGGTACTGTTCACTTTAATGAAAAACCATATTTTTACACTAAAAAGTCAAATCTGGTACTATTCACTTTAACCTTTATTTTGTCATTATCATTAAAACTCAAAGTTTTTAAACCATTTTCATTAGTTTTCTTTTTTTTCAAAGTCTACTTAATTAATTGCATCCTATCCTCCAATTTGCAGTATTCACTAAATTATGTCAATGAATATCGTTCATTTCTTAAGAAATAAATAAAAAAGAGTGCCCTTTGGTGCAAAATATTGTTGCTTATAAAAAGCAAAAAGAACAATAACAGGAACAAGGCAAGCCAATCTGCTACGACCAATCCATGGCGACCGAGCCTCTTCGCACCACCGCAACCCCAGCAACTCACACGGCGGCGCTGACAAAAGAGAAACGACCCCGTTCCATCTTCGACGTCGGGGCCGACTTCTTCGACTCCTGCGAGCTCCTTCATTCTTCTGGCCTCTCTACTGCCTCAACCACCGATGCCTCCAACTACAATTCCGCCGTCGAAACCCTAGACGACTTCGAGCCAGAGCGCAGTGAACAAAACCCCTCCCAAAACGCCGTCGTAGCAGGACCCCGGTGGACCTGCAACACTTGCAAGGCCGAGTTCGACTCCCTCCAAGACCAGCGCTCGCACTTCAAATCCGACATTCACCGATTCAACGTAAGTTAATTGTTCAATACAAGTTTATAGTTTTCAATTCCCGCCGTTTGGTATATTCAATGAATACTCGTAATTGAGGAAAACCTCGAAATTTTGGGGCTTTGATACACCGTTTGTTTAGAATTGTTAAATATTTTTGTGTTGATTTCGTTTAAATTTTTTATTTTTAATCAAATTTCTGTTTGGTAAAAGCGAATGCTTGAATTTTCAAGCTTTACTGTGCTTTGAATGGATACGTTTTTGCTCTTTTGCAATCAACATTTTGGTTTTTATCCAATCAAATTGCGTATCTGATTCGCCTGTTTGATATGTGGGAGGATTATACTTATTATTTTCCTTTGGGTGATGCTAAAGAGACCATCTTTTTGAACCATATTTTGTAAACCAGTGGCGGTTGATGGTTGTCTTCTTTTAAATCATTAAAAAAATTCAACCATCAACTGTCACATCATGTAGTTAACAAATATGGTTTAAAAAGATGGTTACCTAGCATTTTCCTTTTACTTTACACTCTTTGGTTACTCGGTAGTTCAATTCTCAGCTGTAATGTGAATGAGTGTGTTTTGGGGCACATGGTAATTACTTCATTATGTATGATCATAGGTGAAGTTAAGTGTTGCTGGAAAGAGTATTGTGAAGGAGGATGACTTTGATGAGTTAACATCCGATTCTTTTAAAGACTTTGATGTCTCAAGTATATCGGGGTCAGATGAAGATGAACCTGAAAGGGGAGTTCGCTCTTTGAAGTTTTCAAGGGAAAATATCAGGCAGAAGTTATTTTTCCACCTTCCGACTGGTGAGAGGGTTTCAGTTTGGAAGTGTTTAGTTACAAATGATTCTGGACCTGAAGGTACTTTGTCAGATGAGGAAGTGAGAGAGAGATTGAAAACGTTGGTTCATGAACCTAGGGATAAGACCCGTTTAAGAATCATGTTGCTTGCAAGTGGTGGGCACTTTGCCGGTTGTGTCTTTGATGGTAACTTGGTTGTGGATCACAAGACCTTCCACAGGTTGGATTATTAATTCTGGTTATATTTCTGTTAAATTTTTTATTTTTTTATTTGTGATTTTTATAATTCTTTATTTTTTTTATTTAGATATGTTGTAAGGGGCAAGTCTGGTAAAAAACAGTCATCCAAAGATGCAGGTGGCAGGTTTGCTCATTCTGCAGGAGCTTCTATGCGTCGTTATAATGAACTTGCTTTGAAAAAGGTATTCGACTTGGTGACATCTCTATTTGATTTTGTGACAATGCTATGTCAAAATAGTTTTTGACTTTTTACGATGGATATTCTTATGATAACGTGGTTGTTTATTGTCAAAATGAGGTCACTGATGCAAGTTTTGATTTAATTGCCGGTACCTAGTTTGATGAAATATGGGTACAATTTAGTGTAGCATTTTCAAGACACTTCATTTCATTTGGCCGAATATAAAGATTCCCTTCCAATTAATTGCACGTTGCTCGAAATTTTGCTTGCTAATACTTCCCAATCCAAATACAAATTTTACCATCTCTGAGTCGGTATTTATTTTCAACATTTGTAATATATGTTAATGGGATCTTTTCCTTCAATTTTTTTGTTGTGTCATACTATTATATAAAAGATCTTGAAAGCAATAAGAACTGTTGCCTTAGTTGGACGGAATTATATTGAGGCCATGCATGATGTTTTAAATTGCCTACTGAATATTGTAAAGGTTGACTGATCCAAAAATTCTACATTCTAGGAAATTCAAGAGCTGCTTGTTGCTTGGAAGCAATACTTTGATTCTTCCTCTTGCGTTTTTGTTTATGCTCCTTCTAGCAATCATCAGCTGCTTTTTAATGGGGACAACAAACCATATTTTAGTCATCAGAATTGTGTTGTTCAAAATGTTCCAATGACTGTTCGGAGACCTACTTATAAGGAAGCTCGGCGTATATATGAGCAATTGACCCAAGTTGTTTATGAACTAGATGAAAATGTAGCTCCACCAAGTTTCAAAGAGGACCCGCCACTTACTTCAGGTATTAACAGCGACCTCATCCCAAGAATGAACAAAGTCGATATTGCTGACAGTTCAGATTGTCGAGAAAGACCTGAAGCTTGCCTAGATAGTAGAAAGTCCAATGAATTCCCTATATCAAGTGACAGTGATGGTGAGGAAATATGTTCGTCAACACCCTTGCACGAAGCAGCGCATTCTGGAAATACTCTTAAGGTTTTGGAACTATTGGAACAAGGCCTGGATCCTTGCATCAAAGATGAAAGGGGACTGACTCCATACATGCTAGCAAGTGATAAAGAGGTCAGAAACACATTTAGACGGTTCATGGCCTCAAACCCGGATAAGTGGGATTGGAATGCTGCTAAGGTACCTAGTCCATTGACAAAAGAGTTGGAGGAATCTCAAGCTGCTAAGCAGGTAATCCTTTGCAGCACTTTACCTAGTTTCTGTTAATGGTTTGATGCATTTGCCAACTCAGATCAAATAGGGAAAGAAAAGAAAACTTTGCCATTCTTTGTTTTCAGCAGTGTAATTACCTCAGTGATTCTATTTATACCCCAAAGCTTGTTCCCTTATCCTGCCCTCTCATCACTAAATATTTTTTGTTTTCTGATTTTACTCCTTAATTATAAAAGAGAGAGAATTAAAATAATTCTTCAGCCCCCTGATTTTTCCATTGATTTAGGCAATTAAGTCTTGCATGTTTTTTGAGAAAGATTGTGTTGCTGGTAAGTTAAATGCAGGCTGTCTTTTTTATTTTTTATTTTATTTTATTTTTATTTACTATAATCATGGTGTTATACTGAAAATACGAACTTAGATAAAGATTAAAGAGTTTGTGGTTCTGTCATTTATTGTGATCGGAGCACAAACAGTATTTTCTTAGGGAAGTGTATATGCAGTACAACATTTAAACCCTTCTATTTTATGTGCCTGCTTACCTTTGATTTGGTTATTGATTGTCCTCTCAATGATGTGGCATCTTGCCTATGTTAATTTTGTGAAGCCTCTTTCGGGCAGTGTTTGGTTAAATGTTGATACCTGAAAAATTGAATATGATCCGCCTTCATTTTTTCGTTGTTCAGGCTGAAAAGATGCCAAAAGGAAAGTAAGAGCAAAAGAATTGAAGAAATTACGAAAAGAAAAAGAAAAGAAAGCTCAGGTGCGTATTATACTTACTCCTTTTTGTTTTTTACCCTCAAAACATGTTAGAGATTATCTTCTTTTTCCTGGCGACTTGGCTATGGTTCTAAATTTTCTGAAGAATCTTTTAGGATGACAATTTCAATCATGTGGATGATGCACTTGCAATGGTTGTTATAGCCTTCATGCAGTGATCTTTTGAAATTAATTTGTAGGTTGCATCAGTTGATTCACACCTTCCTCAGCATTCATCGATTGGTGGCACTGGAAACAGAGAGTTTCTAATTTCTGTTTCTATTTTGTGCATCTCTCTTTTTTTGGTTACATTTAAAAAGTGAAAAGTTTGAGTAAATTTTGGAATCGTTTATGTTAGGGTTTATTTTGGGTAGTTGTAAGGAAGGTTTTATCGATTGCAATGCAGAAGCAACAACTGACATCATTCTGTAAACTAGCTATGTAATATGCATAATATTCTTCTTTTTTTCTTAGTCTATATTTTCTTTCTTCAATCTCTCTATGGCATTTGGTATACTACAATCTTCGTCATATGAATATGCAGGCTGAGGCTGCTGCTTCCCAAAAAGCTTCGACGTCTTCTAGTCTTAAGGGAAAGCCTCAACCTAGTTCTGGATCACATAGCTCTAAAGAGGTCAGTTGGATTTTTTGCTACTGCTTATGTATACCATTTTAAACTATGCTGGCTCGTGTTCTCAATATCTTCTTTCTTTACCATCTGCTCTTTATTTATCCTGTTTAATGTGAGAACCGTACTTTAAGTTTGTTTCCCCCTTGTTGATCCCTTATCAGGAGGAACTGAAAAGGGTGCAGGCAGCTGAGAGGGAGAAAAGAGCAGCTGCTGCGGAGAGGAGAAGAGCAGCAGCTGAAGCTCTTAGCGCTCAAGGCAATAGCAGTAGCGTTGCACCGAGCACTGTTCAGCCCAAGAGCGGGGTAGCTGGTGACATTAACTGCTCCTGTTGTAATGTATCACTGGCTGGTAAAGTTCCTTTTCATAGGTACAATTACAAATACTGCAGCACATCATGCATGCATTTGCACCGTGAGATTCTTGAGGATGAATGACATAGAAACTACTGGTGTCACTTTACTTTCATGTTGCTACCTCAATTACAAAGCATTCATTTCCCTCGTTGTGTATCATCTTGTTCCGTCGTCCTATTGAAGTAATTGAAGCCCTTTACCGATTTTAAAGCGTTATAATTGCTTTTGCAACAACAAAGGGTTTATCTGTGAAAGATTTCAGCTGGTGTCCTTATTTTGATTAGCTCGATGGGAGACCAACTCCCCTGAACAGAGCCAAAGTCCTTTGTCATTGCCTGAATTAGATGACGGAAACCCTGAGTAGTCTAATCACACCTCCCTCCCCCTCTGATTACATGATTTGCAGCCATCAACGATGAGTTTAATGGCGAATTCCTTGTTGAATCTCGGTGTTCCTCCATGAAGTTGTAACAAGTATGTTCCTTCACAATAAGTAACACAACTTATGAATGAGTTGCATTTCTTATCAATTTATCAATTTCTGTGGTTGTTTGTGGTGAGAACACCAATATTATGTTGGCCCTCCGCATCATTCACACGTTGCAAAGCGATGATCATCGTATTCCAGTATCGATCTTAATGTTGTAAGGTTCTAATAGCTATGCAGCATGAACCATCTCATCATTTTCCAGTATCTCGCACTTGATCCGAATATTTCCAAGACTTTGATTGATTGCTCGCGACCATTCCAACTCAAGTTTTGCAAATTGACGTCGGATTTTATGCGACCAATACGTCCGTCTGATTTTTGCCAACATCACTAACCGCACTTGCACTAGCGATTTCATTTTACTACCGAGACTATACCTAGTAAATAAGAGCAACTTAAACCGTGGGTTGACATTCTGATCAAGTATGTCCATAAAGCCTTTCTATATATGTTTTTTTTTCTTGATACACATTATCAACGACTTTACAACACCAACCAAATGTTTGCCTCAAAACAACCTTAAATCAAAAGTATAATGATCATCAATTTTAATGTGTAAAGCACCGATGCAGCCGTTATCAAAATTTGGATTTTTATTTATTTCTTTTTCAAAAAGGACAATTGGTGGTAAGCCACAATTATCCATCATTTTCGGCGGCTAGGAAGACCAAGTGGCCCAGTGGTAAGAGCACGGACTGCAGTTCCCAATAAACAAAAGACGTAGGAGGTCTAGGTTCGATGCTCCGAGCTGGTGAGTCTATTTGACTATGACCATGAACATGATGAAATTCTTCATAACCTCCTCGGGCCCAGAAAGGGGTAGATAATTGTGGCTTGCCACCAGACCACGGACATGGTGAAAATTTCCATAGCTTCTCTAGACCAGGAAATGATAGATAACTGTAGTTTGCCACCAGTGGTCCATTAAAAAAAAATTCATTTTAATGACAAAGTACAACCCCATCATGCTTAAGAATAATCAAGTGTACAAACCGACACTGCAACCCCTTGAGCAGATATAAATACAGCCGGAACAGGAGCAGCACAACACAACACAAACTCCTCTTCCGCAATGGTAAGTATTTCTCCGCCTGATTCCGTCCAACACCTTCGCTTCCGTAAAATTTCTACTTCGAAACGGCCCGCCTTCCTCGATTTCTTCCCCTTTCTTTTTTCTGCTATTTGATCATTTTTGTTGTGTGTTTCAGTCGGTCACTCTGCACACGAATCTGGGCGACATCAAGTGCGAAATTTTTTGCGATGAGGTCCCCAAAACCGCCGAGGTCAGTAAACTAAACTTTGTAACCTGAGGGTTCTGATTCACTTTCTGTTTGTTTCCCGGGAAAATTTTATCTGGGCTTTGTTTGATTGGGACTACTACTGGAAAATTTTATTACGCCTGAAATTTATTGTTGAATTTGTTGGGGGAATGCTTGTTTGATTTGAATATTGTTTTGTTAAAAATCAAATCTTTAATATTTTATGTATTCAAAACAATTATGTTGGATTGCCCAAAATTTCGTTTCTGTAAGTTGTTTATGAATCGATGTGTTATTTGAAACGTTCATGGAAGACTTGCCCGACTGCTTTGTTCTGAGTGCTGTATCGTTGATTTTCAGCTAAGAGTGTGCTGGATTGATGCATTGCATTGTTAACACACAACGAAGTCGTATTTTTTGGCAGTAAATTAGAGATACAGAAATGCTGTTTTGTTCATGGTGGTGATACCTTTGTGCTCACTCTCGTGTTTATTTTCGATACAGAATTTTTTGGCATTATGTGCCAGCGGGTATTATGATGGTACGATATTTCATAGAAACATCAAAGGTTTTATGATACAAGGTGGAGACCCAACGGGTACAGGCAAAGGGGGGACGAGTATATGGGGCAAGAAGTTTAATGATGAGATAAGAGAGTCTCTCAAGGTAATCATGTTTTGAAGCTTGAGCTTGCTGGGTTAAGCTCGGTTTTATTACATTGTCTCGAGCGGATATCTTATACCATCGGTCAATGGTTTGCTCTATTATGCAACAGTTTATGCCTAATTGCCATAATTTTCTCCGTGTTTTATTCCAGCACAATGCAAGGGGGATACTATCAATGGCAAATAGTGGTCCCAATACCAATGGAAGTCAGTTCTTCATCAGTTATGCAAAGGCGGCACATCTAAATGGGTTGTACACCGTGTTTGGCAAAGTTATACATGGGTTTGAAGTTCTTGACATCATGGAAAAGGTATGTGCTAGCTAGGCCAAGATTCCGTTTGTGGAAATAAAGTTAAATTTGGCATCGTGCAGCTTATGAATTGGGATATTGGTTCTTTCAATTCATCTGATGTTAACCTTTTTTTTCTTTAACACAACTGTTCCTCCGTGATATATGCAAAAGATATCAAGTTGAATTGCCAATGTTTGATTTGAGTTGTTCATTGTCTTTGGCGTTCTTTTTGTTTTCCCAATATTATTATATCCACCGGTGTTTGGGATTTGTGCAGACTCAAACTGGACCTGGGGATCGTCCTCTTGCTGAGATCAGGCTCAATCGAGTGACCATACATGCTAACCCGCTTGCTGGCTAGCGTCCACTGCTGACCAGTGGACATCACACTCTCTGGAGGTCTTGTACTTAGGACGTACACTAGCAATCAGACACAGCTATATGTTTCACGAGCACTGTCATCACCAGTAGAATATGTAATTTTGGTCGCTTCGTAACTTGATTTCTAGATCGAGCATTTTAGTTATACTGTTCTGAACTTCTGAGAGATGCTATTTCATTTTATGATAATTACGCTGTCGATGTAGGGTTTAACTTGAAATTAACAGAGCTTGTACGTGTGTGTTTCTGTTGGACCCGAGCTTTTCCGGCTCCTAATGAACAAGCATTGTTGTCTTGGGTTGCAAGAATGTTTGACAATTTTTCTGTTCTTGTATTGGTAATTTGTGAAGCATATGCATTTTATTCTAAAGGAAAATGTGCACAATGGCAACCGAAGCAGTTGGAAATGTAACTTGAATGCAGCAATTCAAATTCCTAATGTAAATATTCTTTTGGGCTAACTGCTTCGCTCAAGATTTCAATTTGAGGTTTTGAAATTGTATTAATTTACAATTGTATTATGCCTTTTAAGTTTAACGATTCTTCGTGAAATTGATGACGTTGCAAACGTGGGTTGTGTAAGCTACACAGGCTACTGGGACCAAAAATGTATGATGGGCTGTTTTCGAAAACAAGACATTGATTAAGGAGATATTGAAGCTTCATGACGATTTAATTTAAAAAGGGCTAGATAGTCCAAATGACGGCAAACACAACTTTATGAGAATTTAAAACTTATGGTGCAATGTGGTTACTTAGTACTACAGTTTAGTGGTATTTCTTTTCATTTGTAAGTGAGAGGTTTTAGGTTCGATTCTCGCGCAAAAGCGAATTTGAACTAAATTATTACTAACCCTTTATGAGACTAAAGCTCACCCTCACCCCCTTTATAATAGATAATATTGTTTGTTCAAAAAAAAAAAAAAAAACCCTTATGGTGCAATGTGACAAAATTAGAACTTTGTAACTCATTTTGGAAAAGGGACATTTTGACATGGACACCTCATTTTGGAATGTTATAGACTAGACATCTCTTCCTTTTTAAACTTTGATTCTAGTGGTATTTGACACGCCTCGATCCCGATATCTGGGGGACATCGAGATGGCCACATGCTGGCTGACACCCAAGGGTAACGCAAGCCATTTGATGAATGCATATGCTGAGAACATGTGAAACATGCATGTAAATTTCACGCGAACGACGCAATGTAATACTCTAACATAATCCTTATAAAATAATATAATAATATTCATTAAATTCAAGTGTGCCCCTTCTTAATCTAAACTCTCTATTCCTTTTACATACCCCGTTTTTCACTCTATCTCTCTTATTTCAGTGCAGACTTCCTTTCCCCTCCTTTTGCTATCAACTTTTCTTTGTCATTTCTTTAGTCATTTTGTTATATTTTCAAATCTTTCATGCTTAACTCTTACCTTGTATTCAAGTGTTTGAGTTTGTACAATGTTTTTAGTTCTTTGTACTAAATTTGATTGGTTTTCCAAATGTGCAATTTACTACAACTTTTCATGTTGTGAGGCCCCTCCTCACATAAAATTCTTGCTCTGCCACTGATATTATTCAACTGCCAACAATGATAATGATAGTGATAATGCATGACATGTTCAGAGCATACATCTAATTCAGAATACAAGCGGAATGTGCTATTACAATGATGTCAAAGCAGAAGGGATGACACGATGTCATTGGTAGGGGAATGCCTCGTAGCTCGGATCGTAAGCCTAGTTCCTATGTCCTGAGGGGGCGCAAAACAAACATGAGTGGACCAAGTTGATATATAAGTAGTACAAATATAGTTATTCAACAACATACTAACCCCCAAAGTTTATGAAAACTAATAGCATAATATGTAATAGGTTTCCTAAAACCCTAGGATACCATAAAACATTTCATAAAATATATATCATATCTAGTGTGCAAACTAGTGGTATCATAATTGCCCAAAGGCTCTCCATCACGCGCTCGTAGGCAGGACATAAGCCCGTAGACAGGATCGTCACGTGCCCGTAGGCAGAATATACGCCCGTAGGCAGGACATACGCCCGTAGGCAGGACATATGCCCATAGGCATAACAATGACCACTAGATACACACAAAAACATT